TGTCTGTTGCTGCTTTCTAACGTGTGTGTGTGTGTGTGTGTGTGTGTGTGTGTGTGTGTGTGTGTGTGTGTGTCAGGAGGAGGCAGTCATCCATTACTGGTTCCTTACGACACTTTAACTGCCAAAGAGAAATCGAAAGACCGAGAGAAAGCACAAGACATCCTCAAGTTCTTTCAGATCAACGGATACAGCGTCTCAAGGTGACCGTGTGTGTGTGTGTGTGTGTGTGAGTGTTTGTGTGTCTTTGTGTCAAAGAATTCTTTCAGAAAACATCCGTTTAAAAGTTTATGTTTGGGATCGGTAAGATGTTTTTATGAAAGAAGTCTCTTCTGCTCACTAAGGCTGCATTAATTTGATCAAAAATACAATAAAAACAGTGAAATATTATTATAATGTCAAACAGCTGTTTTCTCTGTGAATCTCTGTTAAACTGTAATGTATTTCTGTGATGTGCAGCTGTATTTCCAGCATCATTCCTCCAGTCTTCAGTGTCACATGATCTTCAGAAATCAGTATAATATGCTGATCTGCTGCTCGAGAAACATTTCTGATTATTATCAATGTTGAAAACAGTCGTGTTGCACAATATTTCTGTGGAAACCGTGATGGATTTTATTTTTCATGATTCACAGATGAACAGAAAGTTCAAAAGAACAGCATTTATTTGAAACAGAAATCTTGCGTAACATTATAAAAGTCTTCTATCCTTGATGAATAAAAGTATTAACTTTAAAAAAAAAAAAGCCTTACTGACCCCAAACTTTTGAACTATAGTGTAATTCTCATCACAGATTGGTGTGACGTGTGTGTGTGTGTGACGTGTGTGTGACGTGTGTGTGACATGTGTGTGACGTGTGTGTGTGTGTGTGTGTGTGAGCAGGGCTATGAAAGAACAGGATCTGGACGCTCCGTCCATAGAGAAACGCTTCGCGTACACGTTTCTGCAGCAGCTGATCACGTATGTGGATGAAGCTCACGCACACATGCTGGAGTACGGTGAGACGCTCTCTTTAATGCCTGTATCGATCTCAGAATCACTGATCATCACCATCACATCAGCTTCTCGTCTTTATCTCAGATGCTGGAGTTCGACCGAAAGGAGAGAAAATCCTCCACGAGCAGCAGGTCAAATTCTTCGGGAAGGTCTGATTCATCTGACGGATTCACGTCATGTCAGTCAGTTGTTAAATTCATACACTGATAGAATTATTATTTCGCTCATTTCCAGGTTGTGCTGCCGCTGGTGGACCAGTACTTCAAAAACCATCGGCTCTACTTCCTGTCCACCGCCGTTCGACCAATCAGCAGCGGCGGCCACGCCTCCAATAAAGAGAAGGAGATGGTGACCAGGTGATGTGTGTGTGTGTGTGTCTGCTGGAACTTAAACAATCTGCCTTCAGTACGACTAAACACGTGCAGCGTCAGTCTGCCAAAATAAAAACGTGCTTTAATTTGTTCCTCAGTTTGTTTAAACAAAATATAGGTTTGCAGGAGCTAAAGTGTGTTTTAAGCAGAATTCTTCAGATTCTCTCGTGCAGGTTTTCTTCTGCGCTGTGATTTATCCTCCCTGTGATATAGTCTTCCTCTGTATCCTGATGTTTTTTCTCTCCTGTGACTCTCAGCCTGTTCTGTAAACTGGCCGTTCTGGTGCGGCACCGGATCTCACTGTTTGGTAAGGTGCTGTCTGTCACGTTTGAAGAGTGTTTGCGGTGGTTTTCTGAGTCTGGAGGTGTTTTTGAGACTGACATCAGTTTCTTGCTCTCGAAGCTGTTTACCTGAGCTCAAACAGCATTAGTTTTTTTTAATCTCTGTCCAAGAAGATCTGATGGAGCTCAAGGATCATTTGTGACCCTGGAGTACAAAACCAGTCTTAAAGGGGTCATATGATGCTTTTTTAAAGATCATTATTTTGTGTATTTGGTGTAACAGAACATGTTGACATGCTTTAATGTTCAAAAAACACATTATTTTTCAAATACTGTACATTATTGTAGGTCCTCTATGCCCCGCCTCTCTCAAACGCTTCGTTTCTACAAAGCCCCTCCTTCCGACAAGCGCAGTCTGCTCTGATTGGCCAGCTGACCCAGTGCATTGTGATTGGACGAACACTGCAAGCACTCGTCGGTCTCTCTCTCTCTCTCACACACACACACACACACACGCACACACGATGCACAAAACTCCGCATTTGAACAGTCAATAGCAAATACTTAAACTAATAACAAAACAGTAGCTGATTCAGAAGTGCCAGATTGTCATAGCAAAGTCAGAATGACCTCCTCTCCTAGGTTCACGAAACGGTCATCCATAAAATGCATTGCTGTTCTGTTGTAAGTAATCTTAAAGGTTCCTAAATGCATCTACTTCCGGAAGGCCAAATAAAGTGCTTTTGCTTTCGTCTAGAAACACACAGCGTCTCCCTGACATGCTGCTTCAACACTAACTGCGGTTACTGAAACCACGCCTTCTTTCTTTGCGTGCACATTTGGGCGCATTATGCTAATATTTCCACATAGTGAGGTAGATATGTGGGGGCGTGTTAGAACGAGTCGTTTTAGGGGGGCGTGGCAGAGTCTTAACTTTGATAAAGAATATCTCTTTGGTTTTGAGACTTTAGTCTTTGCAACTTCAGGGATCTTATCTATGCACAATCAGCTTGTGACACTCCAAAGAGAAAGAACAACTTGAAATCGCATCATATGACCCCTTTAAGTGTCAATTTTGTTAAATTGAGATTTATGCATCAGCTGAAAGCTGAATAAATAGCTTTCCATTGATGTATGGTTTGTTAGGATAGGACAATATTTGGCCGAGATGCAACTACGTCTACGAGTTTGGAAACTCCAGCTTAAAGTTAGATGCTGTTAGTGAGACTAGAGAGTGTGGAAACCACTGAAGCCTGATGGGTTGGATGGTCCGTGTGTCTGAGATCAGTAATGCGTGTCGTCGTGTTTCTCAGGGAATGATGCCACGTCCATCGTGAACTGCCTGCACATCCTGGGACAGACGCTGGACGCCAGGTTAGTCACACACACCCCTATGTTAGATTAACACTTACTAGAGTACACAAATATATGAAGGACACACATGTTGATTGAGATGTTTATGATGAAACTGATCTCAGTTGATCTCTCTGGCATCGCTCTTGTTTTTGTCTTGCATTTCGCGTCCAGGACTGTGATGAAAACCGGCCAGGACTCTGTCAAAGCAGCTCTAAGGGCGTTTTTTGACAACGCAGCAGAAGATCTGGAGAAGACGATGGAGAACCTGCGGCAGGGTCAGTTCACACACGCGCGCACGCAGCCCAAAGGAGTGACGCAGATCATAAACTACACGACCATCGCTCTGCTGCCTGTCCTCTCATCGCTGTTCGAACACATCGGACAGAACCTGTTCGGAGAGGATCTCATACGTGAGTCGCCTTCCTTCTGAATATATCTGCATCGTATCAGACTCCTGCTCTCTAGATATTAATATCAGCCGCTATATATGATCTCGTATCACTAGTGAACAGCAGCGTGTCTCAGATCTCATGTTCTCTGTGTCGTTGCAGTGGATGATGTCCAGGTTTCCTGCTATCGGATTCTGAACAGTTTGTACTCACTTGGAACCAGTAAAAGTATTTATGTTGAGAGGTAATAAACCATCTGTTTGATATGCATTTATTCATTTAGCAGACTGTAATCCAAAGCAGTGAGGAATACAACAGAGTGATTCATCTTAAGTGAATTCATCCTAAATTAAGTGATGCATTATATACAAGTTGATTCATCCCGAACAAAGCGATTTATTCTTATTAAAGCAAAGTGATTCAAAACAGACTGAAGCAGACTTCAGTTGTCTGATATTTGTGTCCCTGGAGCACAGAAGCAGTGTTAAGTCGCTGGGGGATATTTGTAGCAATAGCCAACAATACATTGTATGGGTCACAATTATACATTTCTCTTTTATGCCAAAAATCATTAGGATATTAAGTAAAGATCATGTTCCATGAAGATATTTTGTAAATGTCCTACCGTAAATATATCAAAACTTAATGTTTGATTAGTAATATGCATTGCTAAGAACTTCATTTGAACAACTTTAAAGATGATTTTCTCAATATTTAGATTTTTTTGCACCCTCAGATTCCAGATTTTCAAATATAGTCCTATCCTAACAAACCACACACCAATGGAAAGATTATTTATTCAGCTTTCAGATGATGCATTTCACAAAATTGACCCTTATAACTGTTTTTGTCCTCCAGGGTCATGTGCTGAAGAGCACTGTGTGTATGTGAGCGGTCGTAGTTGATTGTTAGTCCTATCCTAACAAACCATACATCAATGGAAAGATTATTTATTCAGCTTTCAGATGATGCATTTCACAAAATTGACCCTTATAACTGTTTTTGTGCTCCAGGGTCATGTGCTGAAGAGCACTGTGTGTATGTGAGCAGTCGTAGTTGATTGCTGTGTGTTGTGTTCAGGCAGCGTCCGGCTCTCGGCGAGTGTCTGGCTGCGTTTTCGGGTGCGTTTCCTGTGGCCTTCCTGGAGCCCAGTCTGAACAGACACAACACTTTCTCCATATACAACTGCAAAAGCTCCCGAGAGCGAGCAGGTACGTCACACATCAGGAAAAATCACTTTTATCTGTATTTCAGCTATGAAGCAGCTCTTCTTAAAACAATAGTGTCATTATTCAGATCAATTCAGATGATTGGTTGAAATAAATTTGCATGGAAATTTGAAAATGATTTCTTATGTTTGTGATGAAATATGTGAGGTTATTGGTGAAAGAATCTTATATGTACGTATATTTTTGTTGTGGTTTACTATTATGGTAAGTGTTGTTCTGGAGAGTGTGCAGTGTTAATGCGGTGGTGTGTGTGTGTGTGTGTGTGTGTGTGTGTGTGGTCTGCAGCGCTGGGTCTCCCCGCTCAGGTGGAGGAGGTGTGTGCTCTGGTGCCGTCTCTGGAGCGAGCGCTGGAGGAGATCATGGAGCTGGCTGAGTCTGGCATGCGTTACACACAGATGCCTCACGTGATGGAGGTGCTGCTGCCCATGCTGTGCAGCTACATGTCTCACTGGTGGGAGCACGGACCCGAGAGCATCCCGGAGCGCGCCGAGAGCTGCTGCACCTCGCTGACCTCCGAACACATGAACACGCTGCTGGGAAACATCCTCAAGATCATCTACAACAACCTGGGCATCGACGAGGGAGCCTGGATGAAGAGACTCGCAGGTACACCAGAGGAAGGGATATGTCGGAAATGTACTTCACTTTCAAACATGAAATAAAGTGTGAAATAAAGAGTTTAAATGAATGTACTGTGTGTATCACAAAATATATTTTTAGGCCTGTCAAAGTCAATAAATTCTCTTAATTATCTTTATAACGAATTAGATTTTTTATTTTGATGAAATTTAATTAATCAGAAATTCAGAGAATAATTACAAATACTTTTATTCTATTTATAGCCACATTTTTATAAATTATCTGTTTAATTATAATTAAAGTATTGATATAGTAATATATGTGACCCTGGAGCACAAAACCAGTCATAAGGGTAAATTTTTCGAAATTAAGATTTATGCATCGTCTGAAAGCTGAATAAATGATGTATGGTTTGTTAGGATCGGACAATATTTGGCTGAGATACAACTATTTGAAAATCTGGAATCTGAGGGTGCAAAAAAATCTAAATATTGAGAAAATCATCTTTAAAGTTGTTCAAATGAAGTTCTTAGCAATGCATATTACTAATCAAACATTAAGTTTTGATATATTTACGGTAGGAGATTTACTAAATATCTTCATGGAACATGATCTTTACTTAATATCCTAATGATTTTTGGCATAAAAGAGAAATGTATAATTGTGACCCATACAATGTATTGTTGGCTATTGCTACAAATATCCCCCAGCGACTTAACACTGCTTTTGTGCTGCAGGGACACATATTTAGGTATTAATAATGAACGTTTTCTGATATATATTGAAAATATTGACATGTCTATATTTATATTCATATCATTTATATTATAAATAAATATACATGCATGTCTGTGTATTTATATATACATAATAAATATACACAGTACACACACACATATATTATGCAAACAAAAACTTTTATTTTGGATGCGATTAATCGTTTGACAGCACTAGTCTTTATCCGTGAAATGTTATTTTGTGACGTGCGTTCCTCAGAGTATTTGTTGGTTCTAATGAATCACTTCTCTCTGTGTCTCAGTGTTTTCTCAGCCCATCATCGGTAAAGCCAAGTCTCAGCTGCTGAAGACTCACTTCCTGCCGCTGATGGAGAAGCTGAAGAAGAAGGCGGCGACGGTGCTGCAGGATGAGGAGCAAATGAAGGCGGAGGGCAGAGGCGAGATGTCCGAGTCTGAGCTCCTCATTCTGGACGAGTTCACCGTCCTGGTGCGAGACCTGTACGCCTTCTACCCGCTGCTCATACGCTTCGTCGACTACAACAGGTGAGAGACGCTCAGGTGCGCTGCGATCGGACCCTCGCTGAGCCGCATCAGTGAATGCTGTTTGTCTTTCAGAGCGAAGTGGCTGAAGGAGCCGAACACTGAGGCGGAGGAGTTATTCCGTATGGTGGCCGAAGTCTTTATATTCTGGGCCAAATCACATGTGAGACAACACACACACACTCACACACACACTCACACACACTCACACACACACACACACACACTCATACACACACACACACACACACTCAAACACACACACACTCACACACACAGCAGCACTTTTCATCATGATGTCTGAAGTCTCAGTGTGTTTGAATCAGCTGGTGTTTCAGTTCTGCAAATATTCACACAGAATCACACACAACTATCAACTTCATTCACACACAATACTGACTGTCTTCATCTTCAACACTACATCTGTTGATTCAGCATTCCTGTCAGTCAAATGTTATGATTGTAAAGTGTGTTTGTGCATCTTTATTCACAATAAATGGCACTTGATTTGATGTATCTAATGAATGACATTCAGTCATTTCGAATGTGTAAAGTGACATAAGTGAGCAGTAATCAGACATATCCAATTCAAATATCAAATATAAAACTATATGTGACCCTGGAGCACAAAACCAGTCTTAAGTGTCCATTTTTTCGAAAGTGAGATGCATGCATCATCTGAAAGCTGAATAAATAGCTTTCCATTGATGTATGGTTTGTTAGGATCGGATAATATTTGAAAATCTGGAATCTGAGGGTGCAAAAAAATCTAAATATTGAGAAAATCATCTTTAAAGTTGTTCAAATGAAGTTCTTAGCAATGCATATTACTAATCAAACATTAAGTTTTGATATATTTACGATAGGAAATGTACAAAATATCTTCATGGAACATGATCTTTACTTAATATCCTAATGATTTTTGGCATGAAAGAGAAATGTATAATTCTGACCCATACAATGTATTGTTGGCTATTGCTACAAATGTCCCCCAGCGACTTAACACTGCTTTTGTGCTCCAGGGTCACAAATATAAAACTCAAATATAAGAGATTAAAGCAGATCATCATCTGTAAACACGAGTGAAGTTGGGTATTGAAGTGTTCAGAGCGTCTGAAGTCTTTAGTGAATCCTTTGGTTCAGACAACAGTCAACAACATTTGATACATTTTCTATTTGTTCCCCAACAGAACTTTAAAAGAGAAGAGCAGAACTTTGTGGTTCAGAATGAAATCAACAACATGTCCTTCCTCATAACTGATACCAAATCCAAGATGTCCAAGGTATGACAACACACACGCACGCTCGCACGCACGCTCACTCACTCACTCACTCACTCACTCACTCACTCACTCACACACACACACTCACTCACACGCACGCTCACTCACACACATGCTCACTCACTCACTCACACGCACGCTCACTCACTCACTCACTCACACGCACGCTCACTCACTCACACACACACGCTCACCCACTCACTCACACTCACTCACTCGCTCACTCACTCACACACACGCTCACTCACTCACTCACACACA